CACCTTCTATCGTCTGGCCCCTGGTGGAGTCCAACTTTGTTACCTGCCTGGCCTGTGCGAGCTTTTGAGAGCTCAACCTTTGCTCTTACCTGTCTCCAAGGTGCTGGCCTCTAGGGGGCGCTCAAAAGTCTTCTCTTGCTGCCCTGCCCTTCTATTTACCCAAGAATAAATCAGGTCACAAACTGGGGATTAGAACTTTCAAGAGGACAAGGGATTAGAACTCAAAGTGTTAGAGAGGTGCCTATGGTAAAGTGAAAAAGAGGCCTGATGCCATAACACGAAAAAATCTTAGGTGCGAAGACTGGCCCAGCTTTGCTTTAGACAATGGAGAAAATGATCTTGCTTCTCACAGGCTGACTGGTTTTTCTCTTGGTCTGGTTTTTCCAAGCAATTGAAATGGTAGTGTGCCCGAAGTAGAGATTTGGGTGGGTGCTTAGAGCAAAAGGCACTCTAGGTGCTGCTTGCTTCCTGTTTTAGGGGCAGGCCTGCCTCGGGCCTAGGAAAGGAGCCTGACCGCTGTCCTGCCAGTCTCACCATGAGATAGATCTGAATTGAAGGGCATCCTCACAGTAATGAAGATCTTACATTTCTTGAGCTTTGGACCTCATGGTTCACAGTCAAGGCCAGGTCTCAAATGTTTGAAAGTCTGTTTCCAGAGAGCTATTGTAAAGTAAACTGTATTTTTTGTACTTCATAAAATGAAATAACACCATTTTATTGATGTTTTGGATAACTTTTAGTAACATGGAATAATTCTTGGGAAAAATAATGGTACTGTATACAGCCATATACAAAAGTGGATATTCTCCATCATCTGAATTATCTTTAAAATGGAAGTGCCTCCAAGGATGAGTGGTTGTCTTTGTATAATAGTATTACAAATGATTTTTATTTTCTTTTTTTCTAGCATTCCTTTTAAAAATTATACTGAGCAGTATTAAATCATTGGAATTTTAAAAACTGAATTATGGGGAAACTAGTTTTGATCTTTTTTGTATTTAGTATGAATATATCCTATTCATACTGATGCAATCGCTGGATGTTTTGAGATCGTACATCATAGATTCTTTATAAACATCTTTATTATTATATAAGCATGAGAATGAGTGATTTAAACTGTTTCCCAGATTTTGGAAGCTCACTTCTACATAGAGAAGGGATAAGTCTCATTCACTGATGAAGGACCTTATATTACATGTTTAAGGCCAGGTAGCCGTTAAGAATTTTAAGCAGGGTGTAACAGTATCAGATTTCTAGTAACTTAAATAGTAGTAATAATATTTTTAAAGTAATAAGATTAGCATGCCTGTATAGTCCTTACTACATACTAGGTACCAGTCCAAGCATTTTCTGCATATCAACTCTAATCCTCTTAACAATCTTCTTAGGTAGTCACAATGTATTTTCCATTTTACAGTAATCTTCCTATCCCAGTGACTAGCACATACTAAACACTCCATAAATGATAGCTATTACTACTACAAACCCTTTTTATAATGTAGTATTTAAGAAAAATGACATCACTTTAACATTCAGAATACCCTAGACTTGAATCAAACTTTGCCACTTATTAGCTGTGTGCCTTAAGGCAATCCAACTTTTTATATTTCAGTTTTCTTGTTTGTAAACTAGAAATAATGTCTGCCTCATAGGGTTAATATAAGAATTAAAAATGCAAGTCAGATCATGTAGATGAAGTGCTTAGTGCCTGGTTCATTGGGGGCCTTCAATGAATGGTAGTAATCATGTCAATCAAACAGCCATGTCTATCATGTCTTAAAGGAGGTTCCCCTGGAAGCTACAAGGCAGGAAACTAACTTAAAGTCACGTAGGAGGTGAAAAGACATCAATTAAATTATTTTCTTCTCTGTTCACAATATCTTTTAACTGTTCTATAATATGTCAAATTATATCCAAAGAGAATTATATAAAAATGTAGTGCAGGAAAACCTCATCTTTCAAGACTCCATGAAATCTTTTCTGACCTCTCTCCCCACTCGAGTAATATGAATGAGTCCATTATCCACCCCTGCAGTCTTCCTTCACCACACTCACACTTCACTCTTCCTCTTTGCTTACATCTCCATTCTCCCGTCAAGATGCTCAGGTGCTGGAAGTTAGAGGCAGTGCTGTGGTTCTTCTTCCATCCCCCATCAGAGACACAAAACCAAAATATCAAAACATATTAAAAACATATATAAAATAAATGATTGGCCAAGGGAAGAGTAAAAGCTATTAATGCAATGGATGTGCCTAATTCAAATGATACTTATTGATTAAGGAAATTAGAACAACTTCAAAAATATAATGTTATCTTCCCTTTTGTGTTCCAGCCAATTAATTTATGTAGGTTTGGTATTAATCAAAGTGATTTTCTTATATTTGGTAATTTTTTTGATGTTTGTAGATCTATGTATGTGCATCTGGTTTCATTACGTAAGTGTCACTATACCTGTGAAAGAATAAGTATGGCAGAGCACTCTGGCTGTTTACAATCTCTTCTTTCTTCTTCCTGAGCACACAGCTGGCCCGCAGCCCCCAGCCTCTCTTGTAGTTAGGTGTGGCCATTTGAATGAGTTCTAGTGAATAGAATGTGGACCAAAGTGATGGGTTTATAGCCACATTTATAGCCATGGCTCATAACTCTCTTACACTCTATTCGACTCCAACTCCCCACCTGGATGAATACAGAGAACTTGGAGGCCCTGTGGGGTGATGCAGCCATTAGATTAAACACGCCTGGGTCCCTGAACCATTGTGGAAGAAGCCACACCATCAACCTGAACACAAATCCTAGTCTCTGACCGGAGCAGTAACAAATCTTGCATTGTGCTGAGCTATTACATGTTTGGAAATATTTGTAGCAGTTGGCCTATTATAATTAATATAATAAGTCAAAGTGATAACATATAAATAGTGAAATAAAATTATGGGATAGGACTATATAGGTTGAATATCATAAAAGGATAGGATTTGCAAATCTTACCAGACCTGTCCATAGTAATCGTGTTTGAAAAAAGAGAGGAATTCACCTCAAGTTGTCTGTCATATGTTACCTTCTGTACTTATATCTGTAGTGTTTGAAAATGGATAAGTGGAAATAAAATTTAAGTTAAAGATAGAATACAAATAAAGTTTCTATTTTCCTTCTGAAACCACTACCTCAATATCTCCTTCTCCCACAATAATTTTGGAGACCCATAATTCATCAGCCACATTCTTATCTTATATTTTGGCTTTTTTTAAATGATTCTCACAGAGGCAGCAGGATGCGACAATTAAGAAAACAGTCTTTGGAAGCAAACTACCTGGCTCTGCAACTAAAAGACTGTGTGATGTTAGCAAGTCACTTTTCCTCTCTATGCCTTATTTTCCTCATCAGTTAGAGAGGATAACAATGGTACCACATAGTTTATGTAAGGATTAAGTTAATTAATATTTATAAGGCATTTGAAAAAATCTCCAACTCTTAGTTATCACTATATGTGTGCAATAGCCTATGTATGAATTAAATGCTATACAATTCATCCTTTAAAAAGAAATTAAATGTGGTTTGATTAACATGGAGAATCAAAATTCAAGACATTTTTCAAACTTGATTTGTTTTTACAAGTATTTCCCTATGATTTCTCTCTGTGTTCCCCAATTAGGCTTCCCTCTACCCTCAGAAATGTCTCACCTACCCTTCACTTTCATCTTTGCTGAATATTTTGTATTCTTTACAGTGACTTTCCTTCTCTTTGTCTTAACCTATACTCAGCTATCCTAGATTGGCCAGTTTGCGTTTATCAGTTTCCTGCGGCTGGCTGCCCTAACAAACTAGCACAAACTTGGTGGCTCAAAACAACAGAGATTTATCCTCTCACACTTCTGGAGGCTAAAGTCTGATATCAAGGTGTTATGAGGGCCATGCTCCCCTTGAAGGCTCTAGGGAAGAAGACCCTTGTCTTCTAGCTTGTCTCTCTCTAGCTTCTGGTGGTTGCCAGCTATCCTTGGCATTCCTTAGCTTGCATCTGCATCACTTCAGTCTCTGCCCCTGTCTTCACACAGCCTCCTCCTCTGTGTCTCCATGTCCAAACTTCCCACATATTATAAGGACACTAGTCATTGGAATAGGGCCCACCTGATCCAGCATGACCTCATCTTCACTTGATTATTATGTCTGCAAAAATCCTATTTCCAAATAAAGTCCCATTCACACACATGGGATTAAGACTTGAACATATCTTTTTGGGAAACACAATTCAACCCACGACAGGATTTAATGTCACCTGAAAATATTGTCTTTCTCTTCTAGCCCATCATGATCATTTCTATTTCATTTATTGGACACATAATATAAATCTGCTTTCTGATTTTTATAAAGTGTTTATGAACCTATATCTTTTCTAATAAATTGTATAATTAGTATAACGGTTAGGACCATGGACCATGATATAATTCTTTTTTTGTTTTCGTATTTGTGTATTTTTCTATAGGACAATATAATGCATACAGTGAGGAATAAATGCATTAATGAAGAAATGAAGAGACGCAGACCTAGTAATGCAAAAGTCTTCTCGGGAATAAGCGATAAAAATAAATGATACATGATTAGAGCATATCAATTTGAAATCTCTGATTTTTCATTTTTAACTTGTATGCTTTTGACTGATTGTAAAGAGTGTTATAAATTCACAAATGAATATATATTTATTGACATTATTATAATTAAATTACATATAAAATTTGAAAATATTCCAAGATAGATTGAATAGCTATATTCAGTGTTTTTGAAGTAAGAGATTCTATTTTGCTTTGCAATTGCAGAGAAGGTTTCACATTGTAAACAAGAATAAAACAAGTGTGGAATGTGGATTCTTCAGTATGAACTTCTCTTAGAAATAAACATTGCATTACCTTAAACTAGTTAACAGTCAAAATTCCCAAATACCAATGGAAAATATTAGGAATTCATCTCAATTATATAATAATAATGTTTGAAATTGCTCCGTCCACAGATGACAACGAGTGTGCAAATTTAACACAGTCCTGTGGTGAAAATGCTAACTGCACCAACACAGAGGGAAGTTACTACTGTATGTGTGTACCTGGTTTTAGATCCAGCAGTAACCAAGACAAGTTTATCACTAATGATGGAACCATCTGCATGGGTAAGTTCAACTATCTTACTTAAAATTTGTACCTATCTCTTACTGCGTGTTACCTCCAGAGATTCAGTAATATTCGAACCAAATTCTGCCAGTCCTTGATTGTACCCTAGTTGTTAAATACTTTCAGAAACTTCATTAATTCCTTTAGTTCTCCAAGGTTGTATAATCAGTTACTATGGAATATTGATCCAAAGATATAAGAAAAAGAGATTTGAGGGGAAAAAATCAAGCAGTTTACAAAAAAATTTTCAAGAAACTGTGAGATATACCACGGTAGCAAACAATAGAATAAATATTTACACTTTAAAATAATATATTAACTCAAGAAAATATCATTTGCATGACAAGATATTGGTGCTTTTATAAATATGCACTCTGAGATGGGCTTTACATTTTCAGAAAGGCAGTACTTATGAAGGAATTGTCTTAGTGCTTTTACTGTTGTCTGCTGAAAGTTACTCACACTTCAAATCTGCATTTAGAGTTCTATTTAGAAAATCATTTCAGTTTCACCAAAATGGCCTTTGAGAAGGATAATAATTTCTGTTCAATCTCTAGGTGAAATATTATTCTGAATCTGAAGAGAGTATCTAGAAGATGTTTTTAAGTGTCTTTCTATTGTAATTTGGTCATACATTTGATTTATTAGATTCTATGTAATTTGGATTATGGTCTGAGAAAAAAAAATTGTTTAGAAACTTCAAAAGATGAACAATTTTCAAAGGCAAATTCTCTGGAGCCAAAGACTTTGAAAATAAATTATAAATCATCTTAATCATGGTTTCTAGACAATGTCCAATTTACCAACTAGTATAATTAATTACTATTGACAATAATCTACAAAACTAATAGATGAACTGAGGCCCTGAGAGTTAAATCACAGAGCCAAGGGTAGATACAGGACTAGAACTTAGGATTCTCTATGCAACATGGACAGGAATAAAGTGCTGCTTCTACTTTGAGTGGGTAAAGGAGAGAGATCCAAGTTAATCTAGATCACATTAAAGCCTTCGATTAGTTCCCAAGTGAGCTTCTCATCAGTAAGCTAAGGAGAGGTCTGGCAATGTTATTATTAACACATGATAATTTAGGAGATAGTGCTCAAAGAAAATTGATCAGTGACATGTCAGTCTCAAAGAAATTATCCTGTATCATGTACCTATGGTTCATAACATCTACTCTGCTGTGTAAACAGGGAAGATTTTATTCTCCTCATTTTGTAGCCTAGGGAAGTGCAAGGCTACTCCAGATCCAGGCTACATTTAGGATAAAGGGAGGATTAGAATCACAGCCTTGTATCTACAAAGCCATTGTTATTTTCACAGGAGACTAAAGTGTGGGGGACCATGCCTTTAAATCTCACACATTGATTTGAATAGTGTGAATGCAGTGGATCAAGCTTTGCAAGAGCATAGAAGATTTAGAATATGAGAAAATAATTCTATTTCTGTTGAATGATAATTTTATCTTTAGTGTTTGCAGCAAATATTTTTGTTGGAGTATAGCATTATAATATATTCAGGAAACGGGAATCCATGAAGTCCTGCCCAGAAAATTGACAGTACCTGGCTACTTGTTCTTCTGAAGCCTGTACTCTCGTTGCTAGTCTTAGAATGTTGTATAATGTGTGTCTGTTACCTTTAGTAGTTAAGTTCTAATTATGTCGTTCTGTAAGCTTTACTAAAAATGTTCCAGTTAGTGAAAAAAATCTAACTTGTGACATCTTAATCACTGGAATTTAATACAATTTTAGCTCTGTTCTCCATTTCCTCTTGTCTCTAGAAGACATCTGTCTTTTCATCTGATCATGTTTACTTTTAATACACCTCAGTTCACAAAGGGCTCTATTTTTCTGTCTGTTTCTGTTTCTTCCAAGTAGAAAATTCCTATATTAGAAAAAACTAAAACACAGACACAAAGAAAACACACACACACAAAGATGATTGAATGCCAACATTTTGTGGGCGTATAATACATTCGTAATTTAAGACTCTTTCTCCCAATACTCATCTATTATTGAGATACTGTGGAATGGCCCTAAGTTTTTGCTAATTCCCTTTTTACCTATTTTAAATAATCAGTAAACACAGTAACTATATTAAGATCCAATACCCAATATAGAGTCTTTCAGTTTCTACCTGTTTTGTTTGATGGATTGTTCAGTGAAAAAACTCATTCTGTGAAAAGTTGTTATTTCTCACCAATTTTGTTGTCCTCAAGGGTTAGGCCTTTTTGAGAAGCAGAGCAGCTATTTCTTTTTTTTTTTTTTCCAGTGCTGTAGTAATTTTCGTTGTGCACTATGAGAATCCTCAGGGAATTTGAGCAGAGAACCATAATTCTATCCCTTTTTACATTACTCTATCACCTTGTAGTGTATTGCTTCTGATCTGAACGTTTAGTTGATCATTAAATTCGGCAGGTCTGGGAATTATAGTCATTAAGCACCTCTATAAATAAATAATGAAAAACTCCAATTCAGGGCAAGAAATGACACAAGCAAAATTCTTTACCTTTAGACTACATTCAAATACTATTTTCCACGGATAAGGTGATTTTGTTGCAGAAGGCTTTGAGTGAGATTTAGCAGCATGCATCTTTTTCTTCCCCTTGAAATCACAGTAGCCAGAACTTCAGATGCCCAGCTCCCAAGAGACCTAGTTCCAGACTCGAATTTCACAAATCAGGAAACTGAGGCATCTAATAATAAAGTGACCCTCCCAAGGCCAAATGAGTAGAACCCAAGAACTCCTTCATGTTTACCGTGTGCTTAAGAGCAGTGTTTACTGCTTGTAATTTTTTATGTTCCATTGCCTTGTGTACTCTGATAACTTCAGATTTTTTCACGGCTTTGAATAATATTAACATTTAATTTTGTCTTTGCAAATTACTTCCAGTAATTGAACATTTCATCTTTTCTTTGCAGTCTGTGAGTTAAACAACATTAGAAAATTCAGTTATTGATGAAAATTATAAGAATCAAAACAATCATGTGATCATGTTTTGAAAGATGATTATGATAAAATACCACTGGGTTGGCTCATTGTAGTAATGAAAAACAAGCATAACCTTATTAATGAAAAAGTAGCAAATGAATTTTTTGAAGTGCAAAACAAGCAAATGATTGTTATGGTATGCTTACATTTAGCGAAATCAAGTTATTAGTATTAAGCTGAGTATTAGGTTAGGAGTGGAAAAAGTGGATCAATTATTAAATATGGTTTGTCAATTCTAGCTTGACTGAAATAATTACATAGCAGCAATTTAGCTTTCATTAAGATAGTGGAGAGGGTTCTTTTGCTCTTTTACAGCTCTGGGGAATATCAAGACATGGCAATCTAATGAGACATTCATTATCAGTCTGTTTTCTCCAAACCTACATATTCACAGGGCTCCTGCTATTAAGGAAACACACAATACAAATAGAACACTGGATGTGATCTTCAGTTACAATATCAGGTACCTACTATGTCTCAGGTACCACTCCAAACACCTTCACATACATTTGGTCATTTGTTATGAAAAAGAAGTCTTTTGAGTTAAAAGATATTTTTATGGTATTACCCAAGGTCACAAAGCTAATGAGTATTAGAGTTAGAATTTGAATTAAGGTCTTCTACAGGGCCTTTACCTGTAGGAAGGAGGATATGTGGTGGATTTGTTAGATCCAAGATAATCCTGCAAGATATTGCAAGAGAAGTTAGCAGGGATCTTGCTGCAAAATGGCAGTCACGTTCATTTTGGCTAAGCCAGTTTTATCTCATTTGGGCATGGCATACTCTTTCAATATTTTATGATTCTCTTGGTACTACTAGGGACCAAAGGGGTGTAGAGTAATAGGCTGAGGATGGCGGAAGCTCTTTGACTACCCTGGCACACAGCCAGTTGTGGTAGTCACATACTCCATAACTAGGTTAAGCACAATAAACTCTACTGCAGAGGCCCAGAGTGAGAGGGATACCAAATTCAACAAACCTCACTTCCACATTTTAGTAAAAAGTTGTGGAAACAAAAGGATAAACAAGGAAATTATAAACAATTTGGAAAACATTACTTTGATGGGATGTTTAAGATTTGAAAAGCATTACTTTGCTCAGATGATTCATATTCTTTTATAACATTCAGAGTCAAAATATAAAGATTTGCATAATCCTATTTTTGAATGCTAGTCTCCCAGGATACTACCTCCTTATTCTTCTTACAGATTAACATTTTGTCACTTGGTGAATTCAGAAGCTAAAATACTCTACTTGGCCTAAGGTTGACATGATGGATACCAAACAGCCGAGTGAGTGGTAGAGGGAAGGCTTGAACTAGAGCAGAGAGCCCAACATAAGCACCACGAGGTGTGGAGGTTGCATGGGGAGAGCTGAACTCAGCTATGAGCGCCAAGATGTGTATCCCTGTCTCCAAAGTGCAGGAGGGAGGATGGAAATTGAGTCTGTAGAGCCAAGATGTATATGTTGCTCAGACTTTGGGTTTGGGATGAAGTTCCCTAGAAAAATTGCACCTTTAAATAATTTTGAAATTGAGAGAAATCAACACTTTATTTCCTGTTAGCCATAGAAGACATCTAAAAATATAAAATGTGGGTATTCAAAAATGCAGCTTTCTTATCCATGAAATAAATTGTTCTGTTTATGACACTTCATGGGTCTGTTCACACCTTCATTGGGGTGTTTTCCTCGTTTGGGTACAGCACATGCTACTTTTTCAGCACTGCTCTGAAACACTAGTCTTTTGCTTTCTTATATATTTTTTTCGCTTCACTGATTTCGTGAAAAATAATGACCCTCGTCTATCCTCCCACCTGGATTCTTTTCTTCACCCCAACCTGGAATGCTTCTCTAATGGTTCTCCATATAGCAAAAGTCGACCTGCTCCTGCTCATCCCCTACTGTATTTTCAGTCCTTTGTGTGTGTGTGTGCACGCACGTGTATGGAGTGGCGGTTTCTGAACACATATATTTAGAAATGAGAGGAAGAGGGTGAGGGTACTAGAGAAGCGTTCCTGTTTCTTTAACAGTAGTGTACTTGGGTTTCTGGGTAGTGCAGATGGTGAATATAGAGACTCGGCAGAAAAATTAGGGGTTTTCTACCTTTTTCAGGCCTGGACTGTTAATTGTCTTCTTAAATCTAGTGCCATCATCTTTCTAGCTAATGGAAATTTCTTCAAGAATTTGGCTAGAGGTTTATTGTCGGTTCCAGTTCTTAGTGGTATGAGTTTTAATGTTTTTCTGTGTCTTTATGGCATCTTTAAAGTGAGAAATTAGGATCAGCTACATTTAAGATAACTAGCTAGATGACATTTTAGATTGGACTTTGATTATTGCCCCCTTTTTTATGGCAAACAGCATTGTGCCACTTGGAGTAGCTCTAAGATGTCAGAGCTAGATGGGGAACACAAAAATCTTTGCATTAACTTAAGGTGATGATCTGGACTCTTCAGTTACTTGGAATCATTCCCTATTGGAACTCTGCCTGCTGGCAGAGTATTTATACTATATTTATAACTTTAAGACATGTTTCATTGTAGTAAGTAAAATTTTAAATTAAGAATAGAAATTATGTGAGCTTATAACCTAGGATTTTTATTGTGGCTTTGAGATATGGCTACTGAAAATCTAAGACTTAATTCTGTACAATTTGTTACTTTATCTATGATGGCTGTATATTGAGAATCATAGTAAAATATAACCTGAACAAAAGTAATGAATTCTGGTAAAATTATAAGGGAATTGAATCACACATTCTGCTACATCATAATTTTTAGGTTAACTTATATGCAAAAATGAAAGAAAATGGGCCACTCTTTTTTTGTCCTCTGGAGTACTCTAAACTGAGTTGTTACAATCAATTTAGTTTAATACTGGAAAACAAAAAATTTTAAATGTACTTTAAAAATTGGGTCTTTATTAAATTAGGAGTATATGTTACATTGTCAGTGATGGAAATTAATGACTTTGCTGATGAATCCTTCTATTCAGAAAACAGTTTAAGAGTTTGGTCTATGAATGACATTTTTAATACACTGTCAAATTGGATCAACCAAATCAGAGTTAAAAAAAATATACGCAGCTAAGTTTGCTCTGTCGTTTTCCAGATGATGGGATTTTCTTGGCTTTCTTGTAAAATTTGATATGAAATCACTAACTGTACATAATACTATGATCAACAAGGTAGCAATTCTATGAGCACTAAATAGAAAATTTAATTTTTCAAATATTTCCAGATATAGATGAGTGCAGCGAATCCGCTGCCTGCGGTGATCACACAGTGTGTGAAAACGTGGTTGGTGGGTATAACTGCTCCTGCAAGGAAGGTTATCAGACATCCACAGGAAAATCACAGTTCACACCTAATGATGGCACTTACTGCCAAGGTAAATTACATTATTAAAGTTTATGTATAATCAAAGAACTATGTAAAATATGTACTACACAGTTGTGAAGTATCAAAGAGCTACTCCTTCTAAGAAATGTGCCAACATTCCTTTATCATCTATAAAATGAAATAAGAAAAGAAGAGGTATTGTTTTATTTCATGGAAGATGTAGACTACATGTTTTATGTAGTTAACATACCCTATTTCTTAAAGTAACTACAGTCTTCCGTTTTCCATAAAATATTGTCTATTTTAATGAATAAAAATAAATGAGTTTTTATGATGAATAAAATTTAAAAACAATAATGAAAAATTAAAAATAAATTAATTTTAATGAATAAAATTAAAAATTAAACTCATAAAAATGTGTTTTTAATGTTCAAATAAGTGAGCAAAATCAATGGAAGCAATATAATCATCTTAGGAAAAACTATTTTTAAAAACTTTTATATAATTTAGTTTCTTTTTCTACAGAAGTGAATACAGACTGCCATTTAGATGATGCCTGTATTGCTGCAAATATTGATAAAACTTTAAGAAAAGTAAGTAGACTAGTTGAATTAAAATTTTATTTTATTTTGGCATTTTGATTTCAGGTAAATTCCTTCCAATGTCGCATGTTAAAAAGAGTAACAAGCAACTGATCTTCAAGTAGAGTTGAAACTACTTACATATAGAGATCTAAGTATTTTGTTTGAGTTGCAGATAGGATTAATTTGAAAATCCCCAATGTGTTGAAGAAGACTTTGACATGTTTAATTTATGTTACTTTTTCACTGTTCGGTATACTGGAAAATTCTTCTCAAAGTATAAAGAAATTTGTTGAATAAAATAGTAAAAACCCCAGGCCCATTCCCACATTCTAAGGAGACATAGTTGAATGCAACTAGATTTTGTACTTCAAAGTAAATATTTCAATAAGTAAATAAAGTAGGACATTCATAAAATTACTGTCATGTGATTGAAAGTGTGAATCTCAACATGACTAATTAACTATCAGCTAAAGCAAATTTCTATTTTATCACACTGTAAAGAATTTTCTCTGGTTGATTAAAATATAATTCAAATTGTTATAACTTTTAAAAGCTAACAAAAAATCATCAATTCAAACATGCTATTCTTTTCTCAAGTAACTTCTTTTTAAGTTATTTGCTAACCTTTGGTAAATAATTTCAGGTTTCAGTGCTGCATGTTATGGTTTAGGTTTAGTCTGATAACTTATTAATGTATAAGACAAGAAAACCAAACACAGAATAAGTTTAATATGCAACTTTATTCTTGGAAAGATCCAATAGTACTCTAAATTGGTTTCCTTTTTCTGGACTCATTTTTGTTCAGATTAGACGCATAAAAGAACCTGTGGCTTTGCTACAAGAAGTCTATAGGAATTCTGTGAAAGATCTTTCACCAATGGATATAATTACATGTATAGAAGTATTAGCTGAATCATCCCCATTACTGGATTACATGAATACTACTAACTCAGCCAAGGATGCCCTTTCTAATTCAACTCTTACTGTAAGTATGTTGAGCTTTGACTCTTAATATAATTGAGCTTTAAAATTCTCCTTACATCTGTGATTAATGTAAGATTCCAACATTTTTAAAAGACATACTTTTTCTTCAACAGGAGTTTATAAAAACTGTGAATAATTTTGTTCAAAAAGATACGCTTATAGTTTGGGACAAGTTACCTGTGAATCGTAGAAGAACGCATCTTACAAAACTGATGCATGCTGCCAAACAAGCTATCTTAAGGATATCTCAGAACTTCCAAAAGACCACTCAATTTGATACTAATTCAAGTGATGTAGGTAAGAAGCCAAGGTCAATTTCAAAGCAATAGTGTTTTCCAAACAAGCCATTCTCAGAAGGGAAGGAAAGTATTTAAAATACTGTTCAACTGGCAGTTGTTTTACCAATATAGGAATGAATGGTGATGCATATTACAAAAGTGATATGAATGAAGTATGAATAAAAAAGATGAATACATAAGCACTGCCTCTTTCCTACAATCTCCATCTTTTCCTATTCCTGAACTGTTTACCATTTAAATGGTCAGAATACATTACTCCCTTGTCATTTTGAGTTAGTCATCTCATGACTTGTTACCTTGACCAATCATAGTTACAGGCAGATTTTCTGGATGTGGTATACTTAAATTTCTCTTTAAGAATCCTTTGACTTTTGATAATATGAAGCAATCAATACGGTAAATTAGAATGTTTCCTGCTTCATGCAATCTCATACTTAAAACATTAGGAATCTTGGATCAAATTGAGAATGTCTGTAAAGTTGTTCTGAGGAAACAAGGTACATTTTCTGAAATAATCTTTGCTTACATCTATATTATATTTTCCGGGTGACATCCTGCTATGCAGTAGTGGATACAAAGAAATCATTATCTCATCAGGATTCACTACTTACTCAAAATTAAGGTAGCAAACATTGTGACTAATATATAGGAGCCTACATTTCTATGATGCCCCTGTGTGAAAAAAAAATTGAAAATACACCAGGTAAGGAAATTATCACTCAAGAATTTAATTCAATCATTCCCTGTTTAGTAAATTATATTGTAGATACCATCCTCTAAGACATTGTAGCTGCTTGTCTTTGCTTTAGTAATTATGATTTATAGCTCCCTTGTGTTCATACGTATTTTGTCTTTAATTCAATAAAGGTAAAATTAAACCATAAGTGCCATAGTCAAATCAAAAAATTAAAGTTTAACCAGATTTTAAGATATAAATTCTAATCCAAACATGTTCAGAATATGTTCATTCTACCCGCCGTAAATAAGAAGCTGAAATACAGTAATGATGGGTGAAATTGACTCTAACTAAATAAATACATTGATTAAACTAATTTCAGTGAATTTATTATTTTTATGGTTTTGTTTCAGCTCTCAGAACTTTCTTTTTTGATTCATATCACATGAAACATATTCATCCCCATATGAATGTGGACGGAGATTATATAAAGATATTTCCAAAGAGAAAATCTGCATATGATTCAGATGGTAGGACTTTGACAGTCTTATATACAGTGTGTCAATGATTTGCAATAAATACTTATGCATTTGGTTGTATCCTATGTACATATAACCTGTGGTTTCCTATAGAAAAATATTTTATGTTTAAATGCAGAATTTCCATATTTGTACTAGAGTTTTTTTTTTTTTTTTTTTTTTTGGTGAGGAAGATCAGCCCTGAGCTAACATCCGATGCCAATCTTCCTCTTTTTGCCGAGGAAGATTGGCCCTGGGCTAACATCCATGCCCATCTTCCACTACTTTTATATGGGATGCTGCCACAGCATCGCTCAACAAGAGGTGCACAGGTGCACGCCCAGGGTTCCAAACCCCCGATCCCCGGTCCACTGCAGCAGAGCACGTGCACTCAACCGCTACACCACCGGCCGGACCCCTGTACTAGAGATTTTTATTCTGATCTAAATACCTGCGGGGAATTTTAGGATCTGACAATATCTAGATCCTTCTTGTCTTACCTCCAACCTCTGTAACTGTCTAATATTGTTAAGATTCTAATGAAAATATACAAAAGAACTGTGATTTTACCACTCATTTTGCATCAGTCAATAGAGACTATAATTTGCGTAGAGTTCTTTTAGTATTTCTTCTTCAATAATCCTTCATATTCCTCATCGTGAGACTGAATTTGTGATTGTGTAAGGATGACAAATAGACATCATGTTAAAAAGACTGAAAATTATTGTGTGGGCTTGGACTTCTCTCTTCCACTTGTCATTTCTGAGTCCTTGTATATTAAACTCTCCAACTAAACTGAAGGCAGGATTAAGAAATAGAATCTGAGAATGTTAGTACTAGCAGGTAACAATGATTATCTAGCCTAATTTCTTCATTTTATGGATAATAGAACTAAGGCACAAAGAAGTTAACAGCTTTGTCTCCACGCACATCAACAGATAGACAGAACCAGCACTAGAAGGGAGGGAGTTAGCAGGAAACAGCCCTGACCTGACCAGCCTTTTCCTTGTCACCTAACCACAGGCAACCATAGCCGCTATTTAAATTTAACCATTTACCTGCTCTCTTAGTGCACTGGCTTAGAAAAAGATTCTCTGCTGATAGTAGATTTGTTGTTGTTGTTCCCTTATAGGTCAAAATATATTACTTTGGGAAAATATGAATTATAATATTTTCTCAAAGAATGTGTGGGGATTCATAAATACAAATGAAAAATACATACAATAACACACATATGTTCCCTTTAAAAATACCATTTCATAAAAGGATATATTGTCTTTATTGTTAAAAAACATGCTGCACATTCATTCTCGGAAGAATATCTTTTTAAAAAAACTTTTATAGGTCTCATGTGGAATTTTTTTCTAATCCATTGCTATCATCTTCTCCATTCTTTTTCATTTTTTATTCAAAAGCAAGAAACAGATGGCCATAAAACAAAGCAAAAATAACTAAGCCATTTTGCCACTGAACCCATGGCTCTTACCCTGTTACATCATATTCTAATTACTCAAGTACTCATATGATATTTAGCAAATCAAAGAATGTGTTAAACTGTTGTATTTTCAAAGACAATTTGAGTAGTGTTTAGAGGTTGAGAATAAAGACATTGAAAATACTTATCATAGTGACAGATGATGAAATTGTCATGGAATAAATATCTCAAAGAGATCCTGTCTGAGTGTATGGTAGTTTTGTTACATTTAATGATCATGCATGCAAACTCTGACATTTGAAAGAGACAGTAATATCAGCTCTCCAGAAAGCAGAGGGAGAAATTTGTTTTCCTCAAGGTTGGATCTTAAAAATAAAGGCAGGTCTAACAAACTGATCAAACTCACTCAATAATGTCTACATGTGATTATTCATTTATTGACAAAACCCATTAATAAAAATATGCACTAGTTAAAAGCTGCATAGTGTCATTGGTAGGTAATAAGAGAGGCACAGGTAGATTTTTAATCTTTTTTTATAGACTGAATTTTAGTCCCTATCATTAGAGAATGAACTCCTAGTTTACTGAAAGAAGGTACAGATCTGATAAGAGATAAAAACTAGATCAGGCCTAGAATTAGTGAGAAATCATGGGAATTAAAAGAGATACAAAATGATGAGAATGGACAAACACTGAAACAATGTTGAGAAAGGAGGTTAAAAAGGGATTCTGGAGCATTCTATGTGGCATGAATCTCCTTTTACCCAAAGTCAAAAATTGATTTTAAATAAATATTTTTCTTTAGAAAAGATAGGAGTGATTAATAGATTTTTAAAATCCATCTTATCTTTTGGGTGCTTCCTTTGATTTTGGACCATCTCCTACCACAACCTCTGAGAAGTCACTGTTGCATGAACTGGTTCATCAGCTGGATGAGGTCAGGTTGACCTAAAAGGTTTCCAGGTCCTGCTTCAGGCACTGGTCTATTGGTACCAAAGGCTGGGCTAGTTGTCATCTCTTGGAGTCATCATAATTTCACTAGCCCTACCATGTTATACTGACATTATTTCTTCCTTTGATATAAATTTTCTAAGCTGGCAGTTCAGGAAAATACTCTATGTAATGTATCTGAACTTCAGCAAGGCTCTTAGCAGTGTCTCTCGTGGTGCCTTTTTAGAATAATATAGAAAACACAAATAGCGATACACTTTGGCAACTTCCAGCTCCCATAACCACATCCAAAGAATATTATTTATTGGTGTGATATTGTGATGTGGAGGGTTCCAGCTTTGTATCATAGTCCTTGGTCTTTGATAATATTATCAACATTTGTATTTATGATTTGGTTATTTTATGCTTTTCAGATTATTCGCTTGTGTCACAGACTTGAGGGAACAAATGAATATGATAGAGTTCTTCCTAAGTTGTCCAAATATCGAAAGTAAACATATAATGTTTCTAATTAATAAGTAAAACAATAATCATGTTAATATAGCATTTTAAATTTTACAGAAGACTCTCTCATGTGTTATTTCATTTGGTCTCCACCATATACTAGTAAATAGCTAGAGTGAGTATTACCATCATCATTTTACAAGGGAGAAAGCTAAAGTTCAAAGCTGTTACCTGCTTTGCTCATGGCCACATAAGTAGGAGCAATGACTTAAACCAGAGCTTCTGATTCCAAGGGTAAATTCTGAATGTAAAGTCCAAAACTTAGTGTCCTTAATTCCGTACAACAAATAGAGGAGGAATATGACCTAAATGGCAACAAGATTTTTAAAAGACAATAGATCTAGATGTTGAGTTGTTCATGCACTTAATATCGATGATAATAAGCTGCTATGAAAACCAAGGCGATTTGAAATCCATTAACCTAGGTGTAGTGTCCAGGCTAAGGGAAAAAGAGTCACATGATAGTCTGTACTGATCAGGTGACATTTCTAGTGTTGGCTTATGTGCAGATGTACTGCATTTGGGGAGCGGGAGGGCACAGATAAATGGCTGCCTCAAAAGACAATAAATTCCCTAACCTGAGACTGCATAACTATATGTCATCAATATTAAACAGGAAGTATTTTAGGGAGCATGACGTTGAACTCAGTGGCATCTTACAACTCGTTCAATTCTAAACTTTCTTAATACTGTAAGTCTGTGATACTTTTCTCCCAATATCTTTCTAATTCATATATTTGCACAGCGAAGTAATAACTCAAATTTTATCTTTCAAGTGAATACACTTCACACCTTGGTTCTTAATCAGTACTTGGATGTAAATTTATCTGGAACTGTTTTTCTCCTAAATATAGTTTGTGCAAAGGGGATGCTACAGTCGGTGATCAGTTTCAGAGTCATAGAGTTCAGAGAATATGTCTTAATATGGTTTGATGATGTAGGCGTGGACTTATTATGACCCACATTTCGGTATCTGGATATTTGTATGACTCCCTTAGGGTAAAAATTTTGTCTGTTCAATTTTCATGTTTATTTTAAGAGCTTAAATATATTTTTATTTTATAAGATTTCACTAAATACACTTATTTGATTGATAGGCAATGCTACAGTTGCATTTTTATATTATAAAAGTATTGGTCCCTTGTTTTCATCGTCTGACAACTTCTTATTGGAACCTCAAAGTCATGATAATTCTGAAGAGGAGGGAAGAGTCATCTCTTCAGTAATCTCAGTCTCAATTAGCTCAAACCCACCCACATTGTATGAACTCGAAAAAATAACATTTACATTAAGTCACATAAAGGTAAGTTGTTTTTCTGGTGATTATTGGTTATGATTGTGAAACATTCAGAGAAGTGGATATTTTTTATTGTGTCACTTTAATTACATGTAATTTCTTGAATTTAAAAATATAGATTCAAAATTAAAAGAATAAAGTGGTTTCAAAGTTTTGTTTTGTTTTTTTTTTTTTTGGCGAGGAAGATTAGCCCTGAGCTAATGTCTGTTGCAAATCCTTCTCTTTTTGCTGAGGAAGCTTGGCCCTGGGCTAACATCCATGCCCATCTTCCTCTACTTTATATATGGAACACCCGCCACAGCGTGGCCTGATGAGCGGTGCATATGTCCACGCCCAGGATCCGAACCCATGAATCCTGGGCCGCTGAAGCGGAGCATGTGAACTTAACCACTATGCCACCAGGCCAGCCCCCTCAACTAGTATTTTTATGATACATTTTTGTACTTTCAGTGCTCTTTAAACTTTCTAGTAAATGCCAAAGAATTTCCCATATTAGATTCTCTGAAGTTAAGCTATATTTTAGTTTTAATTTTTATTTTCTTGTGAGGAAGATTAGCCCTGAGCTAACATCCATTGCAAATCCTCTTCTTTTTGCTGAGGAAGATTGGCCCTGGGCTAACATCCATGCCCATCTTCCTCTACTTTATATGGGATGCTGACACAGCATGGCTTGACAAGCGGTGCACCAGTCTGTGCCAGAGATCCAAACTTGCAAACCCCGGGCCACCGAAGCGGAGCACACGAACTCAACCACTAAGCCACTGGGCCGGCCCTAGTTTTATTTTTAAGTACTTTGTTCATTTTAGAAGTCTCCATACCTTCAAGGAAAGAGTTATAAAAAAGTATCAGAGCCAAAGATAAATGTTACTCGTGTAATGAGGGAAGTGCTTGGTTAATAATTTTCATTAAAATAATCTTTGCAGGGATTTGGGTGCTGATTAAAATAAAATCACAGAGAAATTTACAATATTTCATAAATAAATTAGCTGAGACCATTTTACTTTATTGTTATTCTAAATCTCTTTTCAAACTCATATGTAATTGAAACTATACAATACAAAAAACATGATTTGAAATAACCAAGTATTTAGGCTTCTTTTGTGTACCTAAAAATGGGAAAACTCAAAATCATAGATTGTTTGTTGCCTTTTTACAGTTGATGGTTTCTTGGGTTTTCGGTATAATTTTAGTCCTAGTATGTGATTAAACTACTTCTGATGCTCCATTTGGAGAAAGCTTGAGGCTGGACAAGTGTATTTGCATGTGTATTGGGGAGGGAAGGAACTAAAAGAACATGTATGCTTACACACAATACAAATGTGTCACTGTAAAGAAAGACATCTAATATAGAGAGAAACTAAATATATAGAAAGTGAGAGAAAATAGTGGCTCAACCATAAACATTGGTAGATATTATGTTGAGGGAAAAAGAAGGTGTGAAATGTTTTAAGAATGAAAACTAAACTTAGATATTTTCAGATACTGAATGCAAATAACCTGTTGACACTAGAAACCAAACATTGTTCTTTTACATAGTCTGACAGTTTTTCTACAGTTTTTATTTGTGGAATATTTGGCAGCTAAAGAAATGCCAAGGACAACCCACTTAACCAATCTCTATTTGACATAGCAACAAAACAAAATATACATCTAAACAAAAATTCTTCACCATAATTAATGGCAAAACTAGATTGTCCGTAATCTTCCTCTCTGTTCAAATCTATTTCCCATTCACAGTGACAAGCACTATCAAATTTCACTACATTGTGCTGATAACACACCTACCTAATCCCTGGTTCCCCTCTCTCTCAGAATAAAATCTGGATCTATTTATTTTCCTCTAAGAGAGAGAAGCTATCTCATATGTAACACCTTCCGTTTTCTGATTCCCCAACAATTTATTTACAACTTCACCAGTTAGTATATAATTCTCCATTACCTCAGAAGAATATTAACAGTAGTCATCATAATAATATTGATAATAATGATAGCACCCAGTACTTAGATAATGCTTATGTTGGACTGGGCTGTGTTATAAGTTATTTACTTTTAAAAAACTCATGTAATCCTCTCAAGAGCCCTATGAGGTATGTACTGTTATCGCCATTTTACAGCTGAGGAAACTGAGACTCTGAGAGATTAAATAAATTGCCCATGATCAGTCAGCAACTGACTGGGAGAACAAAGTCTCATTCCCACGAAGTCTTCATCCAGAATCCATGCTTTCGGGTGCTGTGATACTATCCAGTCCAATCCTGTCCTCTGAACCCCTCTCCCATCTACCACCCAGGAAATGATGTTTCATCCTCATTCTCATCTTTCCTGCATCTCTCCACATTGATGCCAGTGTCTTACCTAGTAAATACGCTCAAGTTTCTGACTTCTTACCATACAGGGTAAAACATTCTTCATTGGCCCTGTGTTTCCTTTACCCAAAACTCAGTAACTCCTCCTCATTTTAAGTTTCTAAAAAATAGGTATCATCTACTGACTTCCATCTGCGGAAAATTTGGATTTAGTTTTCTTACACACATCTTCTGCTATGATACACACACTCACCCAACGATCCATCCTCCCATGCTTACATCAAATTTTTGGTCAAATCAGTTTTTAATGTGCATATTGCTATAATTTGGTATGTGTTGTTCACAACTGAATCACGAGGCTGAACCATTTTCCTGATGTTAGTAAATTCCTCTAATTTAGCTTGCTTAGTTTTCTATCTATCCATTGCTGATTTGTCCCCAAACTTTCTGACAGTATTATAAATCTCCTTGCAAAACGTTCAAACACATAAGATTATCTATCAGTTAGTTGTCTTGAAGACAGCCTTCCTAAGCCCCTGTAAACCTGATCTGTCTAGATGGTCTACTCTGTGGCCTGCGGCACAGCTATCAGCCTGGACATGGCTTCCCTCATCATCCTGGATGTGCACCTCACCTCTCTCCTCTATCAGATTCAGTGTTTTCTTGGGCCAACGTTTCCTCTTTCTCGGTTTATTTCTGTATTTTAGTGGCATATTCTCTAGTGGCTTCTTGAGAAAAGGTGCATGGAAGGCCAATTTTTTGAGCCCTTTCATCATCAGGTGATGTATATATATCTTATCCTTATACTTGTTAGATAAAGTCCATGGTATAGAGGTATAAATTGTAAATAATTTTTTCTGCAGAATTTTCTAGACCTTGCTCAATTGTCTTCTAGTTTTCAAAGTTAACCTGGGGAAGTTGAATGCAATTAATATTTTACGTAAAATTTGCAATCCCTTGCATGTGATCAGTCTCTTTCTCTCTCTCAAACTTTTGCGACTTTATCTTTATTCTCAGAATTCTGGTCTAAGATGAACCGTGGTGTGGGTCTTTATTAATTGTACTAGGCATGATGTCTGTTCAGTATGAAAATGAATGGCCTTCAGTTCTGGGGAAACTTCTGATATTATTTCTTTGGTAATTTCTTCCTCTCCAGCGTCTCTGTACTCTTCTCTGTTACTCCTATTATTTGAGTATTAGATTTCCCAGCTGAGCCTCTAAGGTGGTTTTTTATTTTATTTTATTTCCCATTTTTAATTTCTTTTTTTCTGATAATATTTTTTTATTTCCACTTTATACTTATGACTGAAAACCTTATTTTATGTAACCCTGCTTTTGTTTAATGAGTGCAGTGTCTCTCTCTGAGATATTCTATTTTGTAAAAAAACTGCTCCCCCTATCATGTTGCTTCTGATTGCCTTTGTTTGGCTTGTTTGCCTTCGTTCTCTGTCTTGCATGTTAGAGCTTGTCCTCAGATGTCTGGTGGTTCATGACTGTCCACTCATATCTAATAACAAGGCATTTGAAAGATGACTGCATGCTCCAGTGGCTTGTGGCAGTGGTGTGCTTCACTCTAGTGATCATCAGGCTGGTTTCTAGGCTTTGCGTTGGAAGATCCTGAAGGTCGCTATCTAATTTCTCTTGGGCCTATCAGTTTCAAAGAAGGAAACCTTATGATCTCCTGCCTAAATACAGAAACTCAGCTACCAGGATTAGGAGAATGAAGATTATGAGGTGGGTGATGTTGGGGCTCAGTAAGTAGACTCTCAGATTACTCCCTGTTTTTTAAATGACACTCATACTCTCAGCTGACTCTGGTTCCCCAGTTCGAATCCCTCTGGATCCTCTGGTTTATGGTTTCCTACAAGAGTGGGATTGGGCACTTTCCTGGCTGTTTTGGGGGAATTGGATATAGAATTTCAATTTTCTTCACCTAGCTTGACCTCTTTGAAAAACTTGTCATCTCTCCAATTTTAGCTCAATCACTGTCTTCCCAGACTCACCCCAATCAAATTCAGTCTGTCTTCGACAGTGTTCCAACTGTTGAGCCAAGTGTTGGAGTTACTACATTTCCCATTAAAGCAATTGTCTTATTGTATTAAAAATCTTCTGAGTTTCTAGCCTCCTTGAGAGCAGATGCTTTATCTTTTTAACTGAGAATCCCTGGTTCCTCACGCAGTACCTATCACATATTTGATACTCAACTAATATTTTCTTTAATAAATAGCTTTCTGAAGATTTGGATTTGATTCTGTCACTCCACTTATCAGTAGTTAGTCTTGAATATATCTTTTCACGTTTCTTGGCCTCTTAACACAATACCTACCTCACAGGGCTCTTTTGATGGTCAAATTAAACAAAGCAGGTGAGAATGCACCTAGTTAACTGTAAACTGTTATATAATTGTAAATAGTTTTTTTATTTCTACAAGATATAAGTATAGGGTGTTCAACATTCTATGAAAGTTAAAATTGACAGTGCATTACGTATCATATTATGATTAGTTAATATAAATATATGATAAAGAGAACTCTACTATTCATTGAACAATCATCCTGTAGTCTATGTGATCAGTCCCTGTCTATCTCTGATCTTGTCACCATTACTCTTCATTTCATTTGCTGTGCTCAAACTATACTGGCTTCTAGAGGTTTCTGGAAGATCCTGTTGAGTCTCACTTCAGAGTTTTTCCATTTTCCATTCCAGCTGTCTGGAACCCTCTGTTCCCAAGTCTTTAGGGCTCACTGTTTCACTTCACTGAAATATTTGCTTAAATGTCATCTGCTGGGAAAGGCCTCCTCAGACTATTTATTTTCTCTTCTCCCTGGTTTATTTTTCTTGTTTAATAATTTCTCATCTCCTCACTAGAATGTAAGGTCAACAAGGGGAACACTTTTTCTGTTTTGTTCAGTGTTGCGTTTTTAGCACCTGGATCAATGACTAATATCTAGTGTATACTAAATAAACATTTGCTGAAGATAACATGATAATTTTATGTCATGCACTGTTCTAAATGACATATACATGATCTCATTTGATAGTATATAATTCTCACAACAACTTTGTGACAAAGGATTAATAAAACATAGCATTATTGCAATATAAACTTCAATTCTCCCATATAACAGTAGCATCCATGTATTAGCATTGACTTTATGCTTCACTTTGTAGGAATGATTTTAATTATATTGATATGCAAAATGATATTTTAAATATGACAAAAGCAATACCATATGTGTAACTTTTTCTCTTTTTTCCATCAGTAAAATGTCTCTTTTTCAGATCACAGATAAGTCTAGGAGTCAATGTGTATTTTGGAACTACTCTCCTGACACCATGAATGGCAGCTGGTCCTCGGAGGGCTGTGAGCTGATGTACTCTAATGAGACCCACACCTCTTGCCGCTGTAATCACCTGACACATTTTGCAATTCTGATGTCTTCTGGTCCTTCCATTGTAAGTCAGTTTTCCACTTCATCTTTACATATCTGCCTGTGTTCTTTTTCTTTTTTTGTGTCATTCAAGAGAATAATTAATTTTTATATGTTTTCTTTGGGTGTAAATAGCATATTTCATTAATTGATAAAGCCCCAACATTATCTTTTTTTATTATTTGTTTTCCTACTTGCCTTCTATGACACCTCTAGTCTGGATTTTAGGCTGTTTTTAGTCTAGAACTTGTCTAGTCTGTAAAATCTAGTAGACTGTGTGTTAAATATCTATCCATTAACTCTTCGTTTTTAATGCTGTTTTTAAGGACCATGTATACATTTTAATGTATCATGGACTTGAAGAGGCTTTGCCTTTGTATTTTAAGTTTATTTTTACCAATGATCAGTTAGTTAAAAATATTTGATACTTTGATAATATTTGATAATTTAGTCAATAAGTATTAGTACATTTATAACTAATATCATGTTTTAATAATGTAGAACCCTACAAGATTTTTAAATATGAAAAATCTTTCTAAGACGAATAACTTCATAATATGCATTTTACATCAGTAATATCTTACTTTTACATTAGGTAATTTCTTATTTTATATCTCTATATCATAATCTTCATTAGATTACAGGTTAATTTCCACATATATTTAAAAGCCATAAAGTATATAAAGTGACCAAATAAATCTGCTTAGCCATAATGTCAGTCATAGAGATGATTCTTTTTCTAAATATTAGGTGAGCAAAGAAGCCTGTATCAATATATAAAAATAAATATTCATCTGGTTAGAATAAAACCAGCCTTTCCCATTTCAAAGTTTTTCAACTATACTATTTTGATATTATATATATTCAGCATTCTGATACACTTATTTGTTTTAGATGAATCACTGCATGGAAATAAGACTTATTCTTACCACTGATGAATCTGTTTTAATTAACCATTTTCACATTACGATAACGAATTGCCTTTCTAATATCATGAAACTGATGACGATAACATTGTTAAACCATATACTAATATATACTATGCCTAGAAAAAAAATCACTAATTATAGAACTTTTAAAGTGCTACGTGATTTATATCAGAGTTCTCTGAATATTGAGCATTTTCAAAAGTATAAAATTTTTCTCATCTAAATGCACATTTGTATTTTTACATTTTTATGAACATTTTGATTAATGTTTCACTTAAAAATGAAGTTCATTATATGTTGTAGTTCCTTTAACATGTTACTGAGTTATTCTCTTAACAGCTTTATTATTATTTTCCCTTAGGGTATTAAAGATTACAATATTCTTACAAGGATCACTCAACTAGGAATAATTATTTCACTCATTTGCCTTGCCATATGCATTTTTACCTTCTGGTTCTTCAGTGAAATTCAAAGCACCAGGACAACAATTCACAAAAATCTCTGCTGTAACTTATTCCTTGCTGAACTTGTTTTTCTTGTTGGGATCAATACAAATACTAATAAGGTATGTACATCTCCCTTACTTTCTATTTTTATTTTCTAAATTTGTACTTTCCTGAATATATATGTCATAGAAACATGAATTATAATTAAGGGCTTAATGGGGTAAACATTCTATGTACTTTCTTTTTATGTCTTTTTTAAGTTTGATAATGCTAACATATCTAAGCAACCGGCTTATCAATTCCATTAATCACAATGTCCCTCATTATGATGAACTTTGGGGACAAATGAAAACTTTGCAAGATACTGAAGAAATAAGCTTTTTTGCTTTCTTTTGTTTTGTTTTTACACGAACACTAAACAAAGAGTGAGGAGAGAGAATTGGAAATAAAGTTTATCTTCACACAGGGACTGAAGAGAAAAGCTGCTAAGGTTCAGAGGTTGAAATATGATAAATTGGCTCTACCTAGTAACTGCACTTTCCTAACTACCCCTTTCCCTCCATTAGTAATCTAGGGCTTTACCAAATAGTTTCCATATTGTGTTAGTCTGCATCCTCCTAGAAGCAGACGCTAAAATGGGGTGAAACATGGAATAAATTTATTAGGTGCCATGGTTGTGAGAGAAAATGAGAAGAGAGAGACTTGGAGAGCCATCAGACCAGGATGCAGGTCTTAAGGAAAGTTCAGCATGGTTGTCCAGGAGTCCTTTGAGAAGACCGTGAGCCAAAGTCACATGGCAGAGGAATCCTCTGTCTCTCGAGAACAGGAACGTCTTAGTAACCCTACTGGGCTCAGTCACTGGCTAGCAGCGGCCTGTGGGAAACATGAACACAGCGATGGCTCTCCGCGTGCAGTGGCTGGAGCCCTAGCTCATCGCCCTCCCTGAAGTTAGAGGTTGGACAAGTGCATCCTCATATAACATTAAATTTCTTCTATATTTCCATTCGTATTAGAAGTCTTTCGAGTACTAAATCTAACCATTTGTTATCATCGTTTTCTTCTGAATCAGATGCTGCAAAGCATCTATTTTAAATAGCACGCTCTAGACAGTAGACTCCGTACCTGTTTTTGGTTTTATAGTGGTATTCATAACACCTTTCAATTTTATATACTTCCCACTATCCTACAATGCCTATTTCCTCCTTCAGTCTTGTCCTATCATCACTCTCACCCCAAACTGTTCCTTATATAGTGTTTATTTTCAATTCTATTTCACCTATCAAATTCTTCCCATTTTCAAGCCATATTTCAAATCTCGCTTCCTCACTAAAGTGGTTCCCAAATTTTAATCACCAGTGATCTCTCTGTTCCCAACTTTATATAGTATTATCCAATACATTTTATAATGCAATCTCATTATGCTTGAATTATACTCTATTGTAATAAGCGCAATAAGTGTGTGTTATGTTATCTCTCCCATAATAGATTGTGCTAGTTCTATTAATACAGAAGTGTAGAAGGACTTGTTCTGTTATTCCTTATAAGCCTAACTCCAGTTCTAGGTGTGAAGTAAATACTAATAAATAATATTTAACTGAAATACTTCTCAAATTTACCTGAAAATCTTGTAACTTAAAGTGATTTTATAATGGATATTTTTATAAAATATATCATTATATATCTGTTTTCAAATTCAATGTTTGCTGCCCAATTGAGATATTTGTTATGTTTTATCTAGCATAGTATTAGCAATAATTTTCATTCTTTGAGCATAAATAAAATAGAGTAAAGGCATCTCCAAAACAGAGATCAACTTAAATCATAACATATTCACTAAGATATCATGGTTTACATGTGACTAATCCACAATTTATCGCATAACATAAATGTATAAAAAGTATAAATCTCTTGACAAGAACAGTAACTTAGTTCTATCACAGGAGTGGTGAATGTCTCACATTGATGAAGCATGGTTCTTTTACATCAGCTGGAAATAGTACATCTCAAACTGACACTTGACAAGGATATTTTAATGTGATCAAGCATTCTAGAAAGTGGGATAATTTATGGAGAAAGTCAAGATCTTATGTTATGATAATGTTAAAGCAAACATTGCTTATGGTTTCTTTCTTTGATTTCCAGCTCTTCTGTTCAATCATTGCTGGGCTGCTGCATTACTTCTTCTTAGCTGCCTTTGCGTGGATGTGCATTGAGGGCATCCACCTCTATCTCATTGTTGTAGGAGTCATCTACAACAAGGGATTTTTGCACAAGAATTTTTATATCTTTGGCTATCTCAGCCCAGCTGTGGTAGTTGGATTTTCAGCATCATTAGGATATAGATATTATGGCACCACCAAAGTGTAAGTTCAGATGATCCCATGAATATTTGAAATGTAATTCTGAATACACTTTGTATGTTATTGAACATTTTACTCTGTTGAAGTCCATTCAAACATATTTATAAATTTTTATCTATTATTTACTTTCAGATGTTGGCTTAGCACAGAAAACAACTTTATCTGGAGTTTTATAGGACCAGCATGTCTAATCATTCTTGTACGTATATTTAAAATTATTGTTAGAATTCAAAAATTGATGATTAGAGGGTGCTTAAAATTCTCAGCAATTAGACATTACTCTGAGGGAAAAGAAAATTTGAGCACTTTACAGTATCTCATTTATGAACATTTTACATATGGTGCATCACTATTGAGAAAAAGTATATACATCTTAAATTCAAAGCTGTTACCATTCATTTGCCCCTCTTGGAGGAGGATATATTTCTGCATAACGTACAGGAAAAGCATTGTTCACCTATCAGTAGTATCTCAGCATGCTTCAATACGGAGAGTGTGCCAACCAGCTGATAATCTGGCATTTCAGATGTTTACGTTATTTAATCTTTTATCGATGATCAGTGATCTTTGAAGATTAGACTGTCATCTTTATAGTTTTATTGTTCTTATGTACCCTGTCATCATGAAAGTGATTTTAAACTAAATTGCGACGTCAGAGACAAGAACCCACTATTTCTCCTGAGCCGACAAGTCATATACTGATAGTCCTATTTCAGCTGGGAAGAGGGCCTTTTAATTCTTATTGGAAGTGGTTTCAAACCTACAAATTTGGCAGGTGTTATATGTTCCATTCTAAATAAAGACATTTTTATACGTCTCAAGAGCATTTCTAAGTGCTGTAAGTTTTCAAAGCCATTCTAAATGTAATAGTCTGTCAATGAATCTGGGAGGTCTGACAAGGCTCTAGAATGGAATGAGTTGTCAGTGGAGGGGTTGTGACAATATTTTGGACAACTTTTTCCCATATGTTTTGACCATAAGCTAGATATCTTTTATGAATTTTTTTTTCTCTTCCTCTTTCCTCATTTATTATTTTTTTTTTTTTTTTTTAAAGATTTTATTTATTT